TTGTAAGGGGTTAAGACGATGAACCTGGTGTCTGGGTCCAGCTCAGCTGTGACTATGTGCTGGCGCTTCACTACATCGCCGTGTTCTTCTCGGACGTAGAACGAGAATTTCTGGGGGGACGACAATATGATGTTATCTATTGTGTGTGGCTGACAACATAATGATGTTATCTATTGTATCTGGCTAATGATCAGATGTGCGTGGTTAAGAATAAGGGACGACTTGGTCGAACATTGGAGCATTGAATTGTGATAGCTTCTAAATCTGAGAGTGGTCGATGTCTAGCACAAGGGAACCACACATTACTGTAAGTACTATAGAACCACACATTACTGTAAGTACTAGAGAACCACACATTACTGTAAGTACTATAGAACCACACATTACTGTAAGTACTAGAGAACCACACATTACTGTAAGTACTATAGAACCACACATTACTGTAAGTACTATAGAACCACACATTACTGTAAGTACTAGAGAACCACACATTACTGTAAGTACTAGAGAACCACACATTACTGTAAGTACTAGAGAACCACACATTACTGTAAGTACTATAGAACCACACATTACTGTAAGTACTAGAGAACCACACATTACTGTAAGTACTAGAGAACCACACATTACTGTAAGTACTAGAGAACCACACATTACTTTAAGTACTAGAGAACAACACATTACTGTAAGCACCCTGAGCAATTTAGAGCAACAGCATACGGCTTTCAAGCTGACTTGGTATAGCTTGATGAGTCGATGTCACACAATACATGTTCAGCTATCTTTAACACAAATCTCAAAGAATCACTGTATTTTATCTTAGTTTAGTTAAAATTATGTTAAATACATGTTTAGAACGGATCTTGGTGCAACCTAGATTGCAGCTCAATATTGTAACTTGGTTTGTTCGTTTTGTTGTGGGGTACGTTTTTCTTTAATATTTCAATGGGGTTAACTTTCCTGACCTGGAACTTTAAAATGGGATTAACTCTACTCACCGGGAACAGGGCAGGAACTGTAACAGGGCGATAGTTGACCTTCATTAGGGTGTGTTCCCGGAAGTGGTTCCTCTCATCGGCCTTGACCTGGTCATCGTTGGTGTACTCACCATCAAACACGGCAGCAAAACGCAGCAGTTTGGCTGGTGGGGGTGGGGCTAGAGGAGGGAATTGTCAGAGAGAGAATTCAGAGAGAGAATAGTCAGATAGAGGGGATTGTCAAATGGAGGGGATTGTCAAATGGAGGGGATTGTCAAATGGAGGGGATTGTCAAAATAAGGGAAAAGTCAAATAAAGTAAGTTGTGCGAGTGTGGAATTGTGCGAGTGTGGAATTGTGCGAGTGGGGAATTGTGCGAGTGGGGAATTGTGCGAGTGGGGAAGAATTAAAAGTATATAATTGTCATTCTTTCATAGGTATGAGCTAGAACTAAAGGGAGATAGTTGTAACGCTTGGCATAAATGCTGCCAAAGTAGAGGGTTCTTGTATTCCCAAATTTAAATTAAAAAATCGAAGCGTATAGGCCTATGCCAAGTTTATTAAACTACCAAAACCTGCAAGAATCTTTCTAATTTACTTAACCTTAAAACGTATTATAATTTTTTTTAATAATTAAAACAATTAACAATCGTGAAGAAACCACGAATTTAAAAAATAATAGACATCTTTTTTCTGAACTTTTTTTTTTACAATTTTCAATGCTTTACCTGGTAATGAAACACCTATACCAGACAACAAATAAACAGACAAACTGTCTTTAGAGTTGACAAACATGGGCTACTTGCCTTGACCAGCCGCTAGATGCCAGACTATCACAAGCACTGCCAATATGCTGGGTACCCATAGCTGAGTCATGACTCGCGGATTAGTTCGGTCTAGTAAATGGTTCTAAGCAACGTGGTATCCTTTATATACAAGTATGTTAATAGGAGCAAATAACGGATTTATTACAGACTTGCCAAATAAGAAAATTTCAGGTTAAATAAAATTACCACAATTCCATAACTATTTGCAATATTATATTTGGCATTAGTAATTATGAAATATATATACATATATATATATATATATATATATATATATATATATATATATATATATATATATGTATATATATATATATATTCAAACAGAGTTGCTAGAACGTAATGTTTGTTAGTTTTGAGTTGAGCTTCCTAAGTTGATTAATTCAACAACAAGTTATCTGGCAAGTACTACAAGTCACTAGTTGTTGGACTACACTTGTAATGATTCACACGGCGACTCCTGTGACTTTCCCTCACAGATGCGGGTGATACATTAGTCACTGGGTCTACGTTAGCCAATGGTGCTGTGTTGGTCACGTGTGATGTGATACAAGAGTACTGGGTCTGATTAAAGTTACAATACAATAGCGATGTCTGTCTGAAGTAAAAAAAATAGTCATAGGCGTAGCGAGGGGGGGGGGGGCGGAGGGTGCGGACCGCACCGGGTGACACCATTTAGGGGGTGACACCAAGGCAAAAAATAGCAAAATATATAGAGAAAAATTTGAGAGGGGGGTGCTAATCGAAAGTTTGAGGGGGTGCAAATAAAAAATTTGAAAGTTTGTCCCCGGGATGGATCGCTACGCCTCTGGGGGGGGGGGGGGGGGGGGGGGGTGACACCAATAAGTGCCGCTCCGGGTGACACCTGACCTCGCTACGCCACAGAAAATAGTAACAAGGTATAACTTAAGTAACAAATAGTAACGATGTTGGTCTAAAGTAACAAATAGTAACGATGTTTATCTAAAATAACGAAATAGTAACGCTGTTGGTGTAAGGTAACAAAAAACTAATTATTTTTCCTGAAGTTTAAAAAAAATAGTAACGAGATCTGTCTGAAATAACAAAATAGAAACAATGTTGGCTACTATTTTGTTACCTTAGAGCCTTAGAGCAACATCTTTAAATCTTTGTTGATTTAGACCATGTTGTTCTAAGTTAACAAAATAGTAGCAGTTTCTGTCTAAAGTAACAAAGTAGTAACGATGTTAGTCTAAAGCAGGGGTCTCCAAACTACGGCCCGCGGGCCGTATGCGGCCCGCGACGTCATTTTATCCGGCCCGCGACGATCTTTTTGTCCACTGAATAAATGTTTGTTGGAGGTGGCTGAGGAGCTTTGCACAGAAAATTCAAAACTATATGAAAATGTAGCTTTGTGTGCAAATACAATTACTCGCCGTGTTGCAGACATTGGTGAAAACATAGTGACTCTAATAGCGAAAAATTCAAGCAAATTTCGCCATTTTTCAATTCCAATGGATGAGTCGCTGGACAGCTGTTCCGTCTCTCAACTTCTTGTGCTCATTAGAGGTGTGGATGAAGACCTGAACATAACAAAAGAGCTGGCTTCCCTACAGATAATGTATAACACTGTTACCGAAGAGGATATCTAACCATAGATAGTTCAGAGACAAACACAAAATCGCAAGATTTACCATATTTCACTTCAGTAAGATTGCTAATTTTGCGAGAAAATTCTGAGCAGACTTTCTAAGAAAAGAAAAAGGTGACTTCCTGATAGTAAAGGCAAGTCACAGCCATTATTGTCTGATGAAGAGTGGGTATAGAAATTGGCCTCTGCAGAACTAGTCATTTAAATTTTCTGAACCTAAAACGGCAAGAGAGTGAAATCTAGTTTCTGATCTATACACCCACCTAAAGGCCTTTAGAAACAAACTTGTCATGTTTTTGGAAAAAGTACAGGCTAACAACTTGACACACTTTCAGCAGTGCAAGGTCTTTACGGCTGAGTCAACCACTGAGTTCCCCACGTCATTTAGATACGAGATCATTAAAGACCTCCAGCTGCAGTTTCAGTAGCGGTTTTCTGACTTGGATTCAAAGGCAGAAGTGAGACTGTTTCAAAGCACTTTGAAGCAAATGTGACCAGTTGCAAAGATAAACTGCAGCTGGAGGACTTTGAATTGCAAAAAAATGACTTCCTTAGAGACAGGTTCAAAGAAGGGCGGATGTGTTTTCATACGTTTTTCACAAAAAAGACTTTCCTAACATTAAAACTTTTGCATCAAAGTACCTTTCAAATTTTCGAACAACATACCTGTGTGAACACAAAATTTCAAGAATGAAATACGTGAAGAACAATTTGAGAACAAACGTGGACCTCGGGGGGGGGGGGGGGGGGGGTAGAGGGGGTGGACACTTGAAATTTGCATATATTTCTATATAAATTATATTTCGTTTGGGTGGAGGGGCGGTAGACGTTCTTCGGGGGGGGGGGGCGCCACGACCCTGAAGAGATGCCTTAAAGAAACTCTGGCCCCCAAACAGATATTTGATAGTTAATGTGGCCCTCGGGCTGAGAAGTTTGGAGACCCCTGGTCTAAAGTTATAAAATAGTAACGATATTGGTCTAAAAATAGTAAAATAGTGATGATATTGGTATAAAGTAACACAATGTTAACGATGTTGGTTTAAAGTAATCAAATGCTAACGCTGTTGGTGAAATAACAAATTAGCAACGAGATTTTCAGAAATGATAAAACAGTAATGATGTTCTTTCCATTTAATTGTGTGCAAAAATTGTAACTGCTTTCCTTCTCCAAAAACAGATAATATTCAACAAAACATATAATATTCAACAAAACAGATAATATTCAAAAAAACAGATAATGTTCAATAAAACAGATAATATTTAACAAAACAGATAATATTCAATAAAACAGATAACATTCAACAAAACGAATATCATTCAACAAAAAAGATAACATTCAACAAAACATTCACCAAGTCAGATACCACTCAACACAAATCAATGTTGTTTACTTTTAATGTAAATTAACACGTGTACTCTATTTAAACGATCACCCGGTGACAAAGCCAGTCATGTAAAGTAAAACACAGTCATACGTTCTAAAAGTACAGTCCAGCTTTTTAATGTCAATCTATCGTACTTTCTTTCACACACACATACACATACATGCACACACACACACATACATACACACACACCACTCATTATCTCTCACCACCCCCTCTCCCTCTCTTTCAATCTCACTTTATCAATCTTCCTCTAATTAAGATCTACACGAGCATTTAAAAACAATTTATAATCTTTAAAACAAGACTAGAATCTACAACTATACAGAATTGAAAGAAAATGCCAATAGCCTTATGAGACAATGAAGCAGGCAGGAATGTACACACTAGGAGGCCGATTATTTCAGACAAGTTGAAATCTTACAGCATGTAAATGTAATTGACATCGGACATTAAAAGTATTTTGTGTGAGTTTCTACAATTTTAAACGTTAGCTTTTAGCAAAGGTCGGTTTTATTGTATAGTCTAAAAGTTATTTAGTGAATAATCTAAAAGAGTTGTATAATCTAAAAATATTTTATTGTATAATCTAAAAGTATTTTATTGTATAATCCAAAAAGTGGTTTTATTGTGTAATCTAAAAGTGTTTTATAGTATAATCTAAAAATATGTGTATTGTATAGTTTAAAACTATTTTTATTGTATAATCTAAAACATTTTTTGTGTAAGATTTAAAGTGTAAGAGTATAGGAGCCTACGACTTGAGTGAGGTACGTGTAAGGTAAGTGTGAGGTAAGTGTGAGGTAAGTGTGAGGTAAGTGTGAGGTAAGTGTGAGGTAAGTGTGGGGTAAGTGTGGGGTAAGTGTGTAAATATGGCTATCTAGTGTGACTATGTCAGTTAATGACTGTGTGGGTGACTTTTTGAGTGATTGAGTGACTGTATAAGTGACTGGGTGAGTGTGTGTTTTTGTAAGTGATTGTGTGTTTCTGTGCGTGACTCTGTTGGTGATTGCATGTGTGTGTGTGACTATGTGAGTGACTGTGTGTCATTGTGTGTGTGACTATGTGACTGTGTGAGTGACTGTGTGAGTGACTGTGTGAGCGACTGTGTGAGTGACTGTGTGAGTGACTGTGTGAGTGACTGTGTGAGTGACTGTGTGAGTGACTGTGTGAGTGACTGTGTGAGTGACTGTGTGAGTGACTGTGTTGGACTGTGTCTGCGACTGTGTGTGCGACTGTGTTAGTGTGTGAATAATGTATGAATGTGGTAAACTACGAATTTCGTGAGTTCAGTTTGTGAACATAACAACCCTGTATGACTCTGACCGATCACGACTAACTGCCGGGCCAACTAACTGCCGGGCCAACTAACTGCCGGACCCACTGGAGCCGCGAGGAAAATATTTCTGGCCAACTGATGTGCGTCTTCGAACCAAGTCAACAGGAGCGGCAGCTGCAGGCCGGATCATGCGCAGGACTGCTGTAAGAAAACACAGCTGTGTGTAAACAAGACGATAGCTTCACTTCTTCCAACCCTTTTACTCCAACCCAACAACCGCTGGTCGGAACATGCCCAGGACTGCTGTAAGAAAACACAGCTGTAAGTGTGTAAACTAGACGATAACTTCACTTCTTCCAACCCTTTTACTCCAACCCAACAACCGCTGGCCGGAACATGCCCAGGACTGCTGTAAGAAAACACATCTGTAAGTGTGTAAAATAGACGATAACTTCACTTCTTCCAACCCTTTAACTCCACCCCAACAACTGCTGAACGGAACATGCCCAGGACTGCTGTAAGAAAAGACAGCTGTAAGTGTGTAAACTAGACGATAACTTCACTTCTTCCAACCCTTTTACTCCAACTCAACAACTGCTGAACGGAACATGCCCAGGACTGCTGTAAGAAAACACAGCTGTAAGTGTGTAAACTAGACGATAACTTCACTTCTTCCAACCCTTTTACTCCAACCCAATAACCGCTGGTCGGAACATACCCAGGATTGCTGTAAGTCAACACAGCTGTAAGTGTGTAAACTAGACGATAACTTCACTTCTTCCAACCCTTTTACTCCAACCCAACAACTGCTGAACGGAACATGCCCAGGACTGCTGTAAGAAAACACAGCTGTAAGTGTGTAAAATAGACGATAACTTCACTTCTTCCAACCCTTTTACTCCACCCCTAAATTCAGCCAAGGGTAACATTGCAGCGACCAGCCTCTTTACTATAATAGCCACATAATAGATACTTTACTTTTTTCTCTTGTACTAAAAACAACGATTTATATATCAAATTATAAGAAAAAAAATTCCACACCGCCCATCCATCCCATTATCCCCAGTGTATGTGTACGCGTACGCGTACGTGTACGCGTACGTGTACGTGTACGTGTACGTGTACGTGTACGTGTACGTGTACGTGTACGTGTACGTGTACGTGTACGTATACGTGTACGTGTACGTGTACGTGTACGTGTACGTGTACGTGTACGTGTACGTATACGTGTACGTGTACGTGTACGTTCAAGCATATATGCATCATAAAACGTTACAAAACCAAAAGAAAATCTGTATACCATTAAAATCGTGCCACTGTTTACAAGTTTGTTTATTTATAAATCTATTTGTCAGAGTCGAGTGATCAGATAAGAGCAATATGTTCAGCTTTATTATGTGTAGCTATTAGTAAAATTAATCTGTGTAGTTAGAGAATATAAAGAATGTATGTACTGATAAACTAGAACCTTGGCCCCAGCCTCTTTTGGTCGGAGAAAATGCAACCTGTACCCCTCCTGCAACTCGACTAATAAATGAACCCCCTCTTCCCCCCCCCCCCCACCCTTCCCCTTTCAATATGGATGCCAAAAATATGGATTTCATTTACTTATATAAATGATGTGGTTGGCGTATAGGGATATAGTTTGCGTAGAGCCATGCAGACTACAGAACATTTTCCAACGGAAAACTGGTCGTCTAGTATAGAAATATAATAAAAAATGTACAATGTTTACCCACTATAGTTAAAGAAATTTTTTTTTTACCTTGAAGTCTTCCTTGAATAAGTCTTGTTGTGTTTACAATGAAACCAATAGCGAGACTGACGAGAAGTAGTTTAAGTAAGAATACTAAACTTAATTTCTGAACATAGGGATCTTCACGCAGGCTGTCGACATAAGAAAGAAGGATTAACGTAATCTCTGAACATGGGGATCTTCACGCAGGCTGTCGACATAAGAAAGAAGGATTAACTTAATTTCTGAACATGGGGATCTTCACGCAGGCTGTCGACATAAGAAAGAAGGATTAACGTAATCTCTGAACATGGGGATCTTCACGCAGGCTGTCGACATAAGAAAGAAGGATTAACTTAATTTCTGAACATGGGGATCTTCACGCAGGCTGCCGACATAAGAAAGAAGGATTAACGTAATCTCTGAACATGGGGATCTTCACGCAGGCTGCCGACATAAGAAAGAAGGATTAACGTAATCTCTGAACATGGGGATCTTCACGCAGGATGCCGACATAAGAAAGAAGGATTAACGTAATCTCTGAACATGGGGATCTTCGCGCAGGCTGTCGACATAAGAAAGAAAGATTAACGTAATCTCTGAACATGGAGATCTTCACGCAGGCTGTCGACATAAGAAAGAAAGATTAACGTAATCTCTGAACATGGGGATCTTCACGCAGGCTGTCGACATAAGAAAGAAGGATTAACGTAATCTCTGAACAACAGGATCTTCGCGCATGCTTTCGTCATTACAACACAGGCGTTAGTCTAATGATGGAACCATTTTATGATACGAATCACCGACAATACACCAACAGTACAACAGCAACCAACCTGAGACAGCACCATCACCATCAACTACAAAACACCAACCACCATGTCAGTACACCACACCATCAACTCAACAACAGCAACCAACCTGAGACAGTACTACAACAACAGCAACCAACCTTAGACAGTACTACAACAACAGCAACCAACCTTAGACAGTACTACACCATCACCTCAACAATACCAACCACCATTACAATACACCACACCATCACCATCAACTACAAAACACCAACCACCATTACAATACACCACACCATCACCTCAACAACAGCAACCAACCTGAGACAGTACTACAACAACAGCAACCAACCTGAGACAGCACCATCACCATCAACTACAAAACACCAACCACCATTACAATACACCACACCATCACCTCAACAACAGCAACCAACCTGAGACAGTACTACAACAACAGCAACCAACCTGAGACAGCACCATCACCATCAACTACAAAACACCAACCACCATTATAATACACCACACCATCACCTCAACAACAGCAACCAACCTGAGACAGTACTACAACAATAGCAACCAACCTGAGACAGTACCACACCATCACCTCAACAATACCAACCACCATTACAATACACCACACCATCACCTCAACAACAGCACCCAACCTTAGACAGTACTACAACAACAACAACCAACCTGAGACAGCACCATCACCATCAACTACAAAACACCAACCACCATGTCAGTACACCACACCATCAACTCAACAACAGCAACCAACCTGAGACAGTACTACAACAACAGCAACCAACCTTAGACAGTACTACAACAACAGCAACCAACCTTAGACAGTACTACACCATCACCTCAACAATACCAACCACCATTACAATACACCACACCATCACCATCAACTACAAAACACCAACCACCATTACAATACACCACACCATCACCTCAACAACAGCAACCAACCTGAGACAGTACTACAACAACAGCAACCAACCTGAGACAGCACCATCACCATCAACTACAAAACACCAACCACCATTACAATACACCACACCATCACCTCAACAACAGCAACCAACCTGAGACAGTACTACAACAACAGCAACCAACCTGAGACAGCACCATCACCATCAACTACAAAACACCAACCACCATTATAATACACCACACCATCACCTCAACAACAGCAACCAACCTGAGACAGTACTACAACAATAGCAACCAACCTGAGACAGTACCACACCATCACCTCAACAATACCAACCACCATTACAATACACCACACCATCACCTCAACAACAGCACCCAACCTTAGACAGTACTACAACAACAACAACCAACCTGAGACAGCACCATCACCATCAACTACAAAACACCAACCACCACTACAATACACCACACCATCACCTCAACAACAGCAACCAACCTGAGACAGTACTACAACAAGAGCAACCAACCTGAGACAGTACCACGCCATCACCTCAACAATACCAACCACCATTACAATACACCACACCATCACCTCAACAACAGCAACCAACCTGAGACAGTACTACAACAACAGCAACCAACCTTAGACAGTACTACAACAACAGCAGCCAACCTGAGACAGTACTACAACAACAGCAGCCAACCTGAGACAGTACTACAACAACAGCAACCAACCTGAGACAGTACTACAACAACAGCAACCAACCTGAGACAGTACTACAACAACAGCAACCAACCTGAGACAGTACTACAACAACAGCAACCTACCTGAGACAGTACTACAACAACAGCAACCTACCTGAGACAGTACTACAACAACAGCAACCTACCTGAGACAGTACTACAACAACAGTAACCAACCTGAGACAGTACCACAACAACAGCAACCAACCTGAGACAGTACCACGCCATCACCTCAACAACACCAACCAACTTGCGACAGTACCACGCCATCACCTCAACAATACCAACCAACCTTAGACAGTACTACAACAACAGCAACCAACCTTAGACAGTACTACAACAACATCAACCAACCTCGGACAGTACCACACCATCACCACAGCAACAGCAACAGCAGCCAACCTGAGACAGTACTACAACAACAGCAGCCAACCTGAGACAGTACTACAACAACAGCAACCAACCTGAGACAGTACAACACCATCACCTCAACAACAGCAACCAACCTGAGACAGTACTACAACAACAGCAACCAACCTGAGACAGTACTACAACAACAGCAACCAACCTGAGACAGTACTACAACAACAGCAACCAACCTTAGACAGTACTACAACAACAGCAACCAACCTGAGACAGTACTACAACTACAGCAACCAACCTGAGACAGTACTACAACAACAGCAACCAACCTGAGACAGTACTACAACAACAGCAACCAACCTCGGACAGTACCACACCATCACCACAGCAATAGCAACAGCAGCCAACCTGAGACAGTACTACAACAACAGCAACCAACCTCGGACAGTACCACACCATCACCACAGCAACAGCAACAGCAGCCAACCTGAGACAGCAGTACTGGTCCTCTGGCTCACCACAGCAGCCGAAATCACAACCAAAATAGAAGCGAACATTTGGCTCTCTTTTTGCCTGACACACGTGTGCCGCGTTGATTGCTGTGACAAACAATGGTTGATTGGTCATTAGTGACACTTCTAATTAGAGCTTCATTTATCATCATGTCAATTACTCTTTGGGACTTGGCCGTCCATAGGGGAGATGTAGTAGAGTTTCTGTAACCTTGTCTTATAAAGGGAGAGTGTGGGAGTGGTTTCTTATTTTCCTTAACATGTCAAGTACTATCAGAGCTGAGTTAACTCAGAGAGGGCCAAAATATTTAAACCTGGATCCGAACACAACTCTATGGCTAGCAGTCGTACCCTCTATCCCCCGACCACACCGCCCTACACGTGTATTCAAATGCATTTCAATAGTTAAAAAAAATAACTGAAATCACACACCGTTTTCCTTACGTAACAAAGCTGGGGTTCTAATGGAATTATTGAATTAGTTACAGTATTTCGTGCTAACATAAGGGGTTGCAAGAGGCATTAGCAGTACCACACTAGGTTTATAGGTTTCAGCTAATGGTGAAGTCAGATGTCATTACCTACTTGTCATATATATATATATATATATATATATATATATATATATATATATATATATATATATATATATATATATATATATATATATATATATATATATATATATGTATATATATGTATATATATATATATATATATATATATATATATGTATGTATATATATATATATATAAAATGAAGTTACCTGATTTACGCATAAAGCCTCTTGGCCTGACAGGACTCTCTGTGAATGAGAATCGTTGGTTAGTTTACTTTAGACCCGTTTCTTGCCGCTTTAAATGTTACTATCACGGTAAAATAATTTCCCGTACATGCGCTATAGTGTGGTGCTTTCAACAACATACACCATTATGTGTGCGGAACGTGTTTGCTTGTTTTCTGACATATGTTGTTTAGGAAGTTAAGTCCCATGCAAACATACGAGCCGGACTAATTAAATAAAGTCTAATCAACGGATTTTACGACTAATTAAATGAAGTCTAATCAACGGATTTTACGACTAATTAAATAAAGTCTAATCAACGGATTTTACGACTAATTAAATAAAGTCTAATCAACGGATTTTACGACTAATTAAATAAAGTCTAATCAACGGAGTTTACGACTAATTAAATAAAGTCTAATCAACGGATTTTACGACTAATTAAATAAAGTCTAATCAACGGAGTTTACCTCCTTCTTTGCATTCCTCTCCATTACACTTAGGGGAATCTGTCTTTCGGCTAGCGTTCCATACTGAGGAAGGAAATGGTGGATTAGACAACTGTTGTATCTTTGGTGGTTTAGATAGTTGGTATATCTTTGGTGGATTAGATAGCTGGTATAACTTTGGTGGATTAGATAGCTGGTATATCTTTGGTGGATTAGATAGCTGATATATCTTTGGTGGATTAGATAGCTGGTATATCTTTGGTGGATTAGATAGCTGGTATATCTTTGGTGGATTAGACAGCTGGTATATCTTTGGTGGATTAGATAGCTGGTATATCGTTGGTGGATTAGATAGCTGGTATATCTTTGGTGGATTAGACAACTGGTATATCTTTGGTGGATTAGACAACTGGTATATCTTTAGTGGATTAGATAGCTGGTATATCTTTGGTGGATTAGATAGCTGGTATATCTTTGGTGGATTAGACAACTGGTATATCTTTGGTGGATTAGACAACTGGTATATCTTTAGTGGATTAGATAGCTGGTATATCTTTGGTGGATTACATAGCTGGTATATCTTTGGTGGATTAGATAGCTGGTATATCTTTGGTGGATTAGATAGCTGGTATATCTTTAGTGGATTAGATAGCTGGTATATCTTTGGTGGATTAGATAGCTGGTATATCTTTGGTGGATTAGATAGCTGGTATATCGTTGGTGGATTAGATAGCTGGTATATCTTTGGTGGATTAGATAGCTGGTATATCTTTGGTGGATTAGATAGCTGGTATATCTTTGGTGGATAAGATAGCTGGTATATCTTTGGTGGATTAGAGAGCTGGTATATCTTTGTTGGATCAGATAGCTGGTATATCTTTGGTGGATTAGATAGCTGGTATATCATTGGTGGATTAGATAGCTGGTATATCTTTGGTGGATTAGATAGCTGGTATATCTTTGGTGGATTAGACAACTGGTATATCTTTAGTGGATTAGATAGCTGGTATATCTTTGGTGGATTAGATAGCTGGTATATCTTTGGTGGATTAGATAGCTGGTATATCTTTGGTGGATTAGATAGCTGGTATATCTTTAGTGGATTAGATAGCTGGTATATCTTTGGTGGATTAGATAGCTGGTTAATTTTTGGTGGATTAGATAGCTGGTATATCTTTGGTGGTAAGATAGGTGTTATATATTTATGCTGGGCAAGGCTAGACATTTTGTACTTCATTTTTCGTAATTAAAACAATAGGTCAAAAAAATGTAGTAAAAACGCAGATTTTGGAAATGTTTGATTACTATATTAATCGATCGTTGTTTTGATGAAATATTTCTGAACGAGCCGACCCGCAGCGTATCATACGCCGCTATTTAGTTGTTTTATTTTCTACTTTTCAGTAATTCATAATTTGTGAATTCGACAGTACCAATGCTGCCACTGAAAATATTTGCTTTAAAACACTAACCCCCCCCCCCCTTCCACTAACCCCGACCCTACACCCCCCCCCCCCCCCCCCACGTGAAAGCAGCCTCCTCTTAGTTATTTCTTAGTTACCTCCTGTAAGTTTAAAATCGAACTAAATTATCTGCCCCTAATAGAAACCCGACTCTACGGCTCTACGATTTGTAAACATTTAGCTTTGTAAACATTTAGCGTGACCACAGCTCACGCCTGACAATGTGGGGGTGGGGTGGGGGTGGTAGTGATAGTGATAGAGAGAAAGAGAGGGGACTGCAAGGAGGCGCTTGCAGCTTGTTTTCTAACGGCTCCCAGGAGATGATTATATATATAGATTATCGTTCACCAGATTTAAAAGGTATTTGTAAGTAATGAATGCAAGCCTTTAATAATAATGCTCAATAGACAGTTAAAGTTGAGAAGAGCTCGATGATAAATTTAGATGTATATCTTTTATTAGAGTTTTTCCTGCGTGTGATATAAATGTTTGTTCAATGATCGAGGCTGTAGCTAAATATTCATTTGAATATAATTATTTCCCTTTAATTTCTATCGTTTTAAATGAGCATTATCTTTCCCGTTCGTGCCCAAGATACACGGGACAGATGAAGTAGAGTTTGTATGAAAGGATAGTGGGGTCAGAATTATGCCCAGTCGCCTTTATTTTCCCTAATGTGAGTGAGGTACCCACCAGAGCTGGGTGGACTCAGGGACATTATACTGGATTGAACCCGTATTCGAACTCGAGCCTTTTGGGTTAGCAGTCTATCAGGCTGTCCCACGTTTAAACTTGTTTACTTTAAGATGTGTTGAAAATATTACACGAACCAACAAAAGCTTCAATATACAGATTACATAAGACGGACTTTATTTTAGTCTTTATTCATTTTATGGAGGCCGGTCCGTAATTTTTCACTGTACTCTATAAGCAGGACCCTGGCCGCGTTGAATGGTAAGGAACTGCGGCATTAGAAAGTACACCGAAACATTGTTGTACCAGAGGCGTAGCGACCCCTCCCGGCGCCCGGGGACAAACTTTCGATTTGCCCCTCCCCCCCCCCCCCCTCGAACTTTACATTTGCACCCCCCCCCCCCGTCAAACTTTCAATTTGGCGCCCCCACCCCTGAGGTCGGCGCCCGGGGACACATGTCCCCCCGCCCCCCCCCCCCCCCCTCGCTACGCCTCTGTGTTGTACATTCGGCCTTAAATATGATTACAGAGTCTACGATCTAATCTAAAATAGATCTAGATCTACCATCTCTTCATTCATGTATTCAAAATTCAAAATTTACATGTTAAAATTTTAAAATTATTGATAGATCTAATAGATTTTCCAAAAAATTATTCTGTTAAGATGTCCTGTTTCAACTCTTTAGGCGCTGTTTTATTCACATACCCGTAGATATTGGAAAGAAGGAAAACCAAATCGCTGCCGTCGCTAAAAAGCCTAACACAATAACTTCATTCATTGTTTATGTTGTTTTTGTCGCTAAACCACGCCGGAAGTAGTCAAGGTTTAAATTGTGACGTTGCCTTTGAGTTGCCAGGATGCATTTTCAAGCCAAATGTGTATATTTTAACTTGTTATGGCGTAGTTACTTCCGCTTTCTATGAATTGTAAACAACCTTACTTCGCTTTAGCGTGTTTTATTTCGTTACTACTAAGCCTCTCTAAGACTAGCGATAAAAAATACATAAACCTTAATATGAACTGAGTATTAATTTCAGCACCATAATTGGAATTTTTGTAATACGTTGCTTGTGTTACCAAACCGTAAAACATGTTTAACTTACTTAAATTAGTCCGCTTTACACCGTGTAGCGCATACGGCCTCAAACATAACCTTCCATTTGGTCCTGTCCCCGATGTTAATTTTGCAATTTTGCAAATGAGTTTTTAATTATTTTTTCCCCAACCTACTTTGGCGCTGTAGGGTCGGCGCCCGGGGATGTATGTACCCCCCTGTCGCTACGCCTCTGCGCCCTTGCTGTCTCCAGGTCTGTCTTGGGCGCCTACTCTTCCGCTAGTCTCTCCAACTGTCCCCAGGTGTATCCTGTCCTGGGCTAGTCTCTCCAACTGTCCCCAGGTGTATCCTGTCGTGGCTAGTCTCTCCAACTGTCCCCAGGTGTATCCTGTCCTGGGCTAGTCTCTCCAACTGTCCCCAGGTGTATCCTGTCCTGGGCTAGTCTCTCCAACTGTCCCCAGGTGTATCCTGTCCTGGGCTAGTCTCTCCAACTGTCCCCAGGTGTATCCTGTCCTGGGCTAGTCTCTCCAACTGTCCCCAGGTGTATCCTGTCCTGGGCTAGTCTCTCCAACTGTCCCCAGGTGTATCCTGTCCTGGGCTAGTCTCTCCAACTGTCCCCAGGTGTATCCTGTCCTGGGCTAGTCTCTCCAACTGTCCCCAGGTGTATCCTGTCGTGGGCTAGTCTCTCCAACTGTCCCCAGGTGTATCCTGGCCTGGGCTAGTCTCTCCAAATGTCCTCATGTGTATCCTGTCCTGGGCTAGTCTCTCCAAATGTCCTCATGTGTATCCTGTCCTAGGCTAGTCTCTCCAACTGTCCCCAGGTGTATCCTGTCCTGGGCTTGTCTCTCCAACTGTCCCCATGTGTCCTGGGCTAGTCTCTCCACCTGTCCCCAGGTGTCCTATGCTAGTCTCTCCAACTGTCCACAGGTGTCCTGGGCTAGTCTCTCCAACTGTCCCCATGTGTCCTGGGCTAGTCTCTCCACCTGTCCCCAGGTGTCCTATGCTAGTCTCTCCAACTGTCCACAGGTGTCCTGGGCTAGTCTCTCCAACTGTCCCCATGTGTCCTGGGCTAGTCTCTCCACCTGTCCCCAGGTGTCCTGGGCTAGTCTCTCCAACTGTCCCCAGGTGTCCTGGGCTAGTCTCTCTAAATGTCCTCAGGTGTATCCTGTCCTGGGCTAGTCTCTCCGTCCCCAGGTGTCCTGGACTAGTCTCTCCAACTGTCCCCAGGTGTCCTGGGCTAGTCTCTCCAAATGTCCTCAGGTGTCCTGGGCTAGTCTCTCCAACTGTCCACAGGTGTCCTGGGCTAGTCTCTCCAAATGTCCTCAGGTGTCCTGGGCTAGTCTCTCCAAATGTCCTCAGGTGTCCTGGGCTAGTCTCTCCAAATGTCCTCAGGTGTCCTGGGCTAGTCTCTCCAAATGTCCTCAGGTGTCCTGGGCTAGTCTCTCCAAATGTCCTCAGGTGTATCCAATCTTCTTGATGTCAGGCATCTGTCCTGGGCTAGTCTCTCCAACTGTCCCCAGGTGTATCCTGTCCTAGGCTAGTCTCTCCAACTGTCCCCAGGTGTATCCTGTCCTGGGCTAGTCTCTCCAACTGTCCCCAGGTGTATCCTGTCCTGGGCTAGTCTCTCCAACTGTCCCGATGTCCTGGGCTAGTCTCTCCAACTGTCCCCAGGTGTATCCTGTCCTGGGCTAGTCTCTCCAACTGTCCCCAGATGTCCTGGGCTAGTCTCTCCAACTGTCCCCAGGTGTATCCTGTCCTGGGTTAGTCTCTCCAACTGTCCCCAGATGTCCTGGGCTAGTCTCTCCAACTGTCCCCAGGTGTATCCTGTCCTGGGCTCGTCTCTCCAACTGTCCCCAGGTGTCCTGGGCTAGTCTCTCCAACTGTCCCCAGGTGTATCCAATCTTCTTGATGTCAGACATCTCTGTTATTGTGTGGGGAGTAGTTTATTGGGGGGGGGAGAAGCCTCAGTCTTCAGAAGTACAACTCGTAATAGTTGGAGACATACATGTACACATAGTTTTAATAAATATACATAGCGAGAAAGAGAACGTGATAGGGTAAGAGAAAGACATAGACAGATGGATAGAGCAGTGGCGTAGCGAGGTCGGGTGTCACCCGGTGCGGCACTTAATGGTGTCAGTCACCCCCCCCTCAGAGGCGTAGCGACTTTTAATTTTCGATTTGCACCCCCTCCCCCCCCCCCAAACTTTTGATTTGCACCCCCCCCCCCGTAGAACTTTCAATTTGCACCCCCCTCAAACTTTCGATTTGCAACCCCCCCCCCCCCCCCCTCAAATTTTTCTCTATATATTTTACTATTTTTAGCTTTGGTGTCACCCCCCTAAATGGTGTCACCCGGTGCGGTCCGCACCCCCCGCCCCCCCCCCCCCCCCCCCCCCGCTCGCTACGCCTCTGGGATAGAGTTATACAGTTACACACATACACATCAATAAACACAAAAAACATAAAGATGAAACTAGTTAACATTTATCAGTAATAACTTAGACTGCCACGTTATTGTTTGAATGTTTTTATTTTATTTATTTATTTATTTTCTTCTTTAAAACACATCAGACGCAGAACGTAAGATGGGTTAACCTGAGGAAATAAGAGGTAAAGTCAAGAACGAAACCATTCAAAAGTGCAGTGGTCGGCGTGGTCAAGTCGGTAAAGTTCATGGTTACTAAACCGAACAGCCTTGAGTTCTAGCCCCGGGGTAGATGAGAGACCTTGTAGTTTGTCCTTGGTTGGACAAAGTCCAAGAAGGCAAATAAAAAAAAATCGGAGTCAACAGCTATATGGCGCATAACAAGTTGACACGTAAATACTTAATTGTGATGTAGGGAATCCCTTCCAACATTACAACTAAAAGCGAAATAGATTGAGCCCACAAATCCATCTGTCTATTGGAATCTTACCGTATAACTTAGACCCATTGATTTTGCATCTTCAGATGCCTTTCTATACTTTGGACCAGTTTTGTCTAGGTAGCTAATAATTCTGACGCTATAACTCACTTGATTTTGTCATTTTGTATAAGTGTGTGTAGGTGGGTGTAATAGTTCTATCGTCCATACTGACAAAATCGCGTTGTGAATCATCTGAGTCGGGTGTGTGTCTTGATAAGAACCACTGTATTGAACATGAATTATGTTTTCTTTAGCCCCCCCCCCCCCCTTAAACATTTGACAAGGGAAATAACTCAGTTAATTATTTCAAGAAAAATTCACATTATCTTGGTAATATCCCTTTACGATATGTTCAAATTATGTGGTAATTGTCATGAACAAAGATTTTGAAATTGAGTTGGAAGGACAAAGTATTGAATATAGACTTAGGAAAAAGGACAAGGAAGAAGCCTAGGACAGCGCAATTAAGAAGTAGGTCAGCAGGTATTTACAGGTAATAACGCAGGCACTGTGACAGCAGGTACTTACAGGTAATAACGCAGGCACTGTGACAGCAGGTACTTACAGGTAATAACGCAGGCACTGTGACAGCAGGTACTTACAGGTAATAACGCAGGCACTGTGACAGCAGGTATTTACAGGTAATAACGCAGGCACTGTGACAGCAGGTACTTACAGGTAATAACGCAGGCACTGTGACAGCAGGTACTTACAGGTAATAACGCAGGCACTGTGACAGGTCGGTAGGTGACACGCATGAAGGTGTGTACCCTGGAGGACGTTTCCTGTTCGACCTTGACCTCGACAGCATCGCTGTACAGGCCGTCAAAGACTGAGGCGAACCGCAGCAGCTGGTAGGGCATGAAACTCAGGGCGTAGTGTAGTAGATGGTGGGTGGAGTGTGGGCGTGGTGTAGTAGATGGTGGGTGGAGTGTGGGCGTGGTATAATAGATGGTGGGTGGAGTGTGGGCGTGATATAATAGATGGTGGATGGAGTGTGGGCGTGATATAATAGATGGTGGATGGAGTGTGGGCGTGGTATAATAGATGGTGGGCGAAGTGTGGGCGTGGTATAGTAGATGGTGGGTGGAGTGTGGGCGTGGTATAGTAGATGGTGGGTTGAGTGTAGTATATGGAGTGTATGTGGCCCTAGAAGACGGTATTAAATATGCTGAGCGATACTGACAAAAGGGTTTGATATTAAATGTGCTGGGCGATACCGATACTGACAAAAAGCTTAGGTTATTAAATGTGCTCATCGACTAACTCCTTTCAAACAGTGATGTACATAATTATATGTTTGGTATTCTCATATAGCGGCAGGCCAGTCCTGATGTTCACTTAATCACGGGTTATGTGCCCGCGGGTTGTAGCACATCTTCGTTAACATTTTTTTTTTTTTGAGGTATGATGTTTATCGAAACTTTTCCTCTAAAGTAATAATTTTTACTTAACAACATTTTCTGTTGTTTTATTTTCGCATCCCTGTTGTAATTGTGAATTCATGTACCAATCTTTACGACCCCTGAGGGTATGTTTATCAGGGCCGGTAGGTTAAAGATGTTTCTACGCCCGCCATTGCCCGCCCCTCCTCCTCGTTGTGAACATAGTGCGATGCCTAATCTCGCTAGACTGGGTGGTTTAAAAGGCGGAAGTTGGTCTGAGGTGAGCGTGGTTTGATATTTAAAGAAACCGCTATGCTGGATTTGAGGTTAACCCGAATGACGTTTACTAAAAATCTAAAATTGAACAGGGTCTTGAGTGTGTGGTTAGGGTGGATTGGGTGGTACGATGGATGTGTTGAATGTGTAGTTGTAATGTGTTGGTTGGGTGAGTGGCTGTGTAGTTGTTTTTTGTGTGTGTGTGATAACCGTGTAGTTTTAGTTGTGTGAATAGCTGTGTTGTATTAGGTATTGAATAGTTGGGTAGTACTGCTTGTGTGAATAGCTGTGTTGGTTAATCGTTTTTGAAGCAGCGTAGTTTAAGTTGTATGAATAGCTGTGTTGTTTTAGTTGTGTGAATAGCTGTGTTGTTTTAGTTGTGCGGATAGCTGTGTAGTTTTAGTTGTGTGGATAGCTGTGTAGTTTCAATCGTGTGAATAGCCGTGTAGTTTTAGTTGTGTGAATAGCCGTGTAATTTTAGTTGTATGAATAGCTGTGTTGTTTTAGTTGTGTGAATGGCTGTGTAGTTTTAGTTGTGTGGATAGCTGTGTAGTTTTTGTTGTGCGGATAGCTGTGTAGTTTCAATCGTGTGAATAGCCGTGTAGTTTTAGTTGTGTGAATAGCCGTGTAGTTTTAGTTGTGTGAATAGCTGTGTAGTTTATGTTGTGTGAATAGCCGTGTAGTTTTAGTTGTGTGAATAGCTGTGTAGTTTATGTTGTGCGGATAGCCGTGTAGTTTATGTTGTGTGAATAACCGTGTAGTTTTAGTTGTGTGAATAGCTGTGTAGTTTATGTTGTGCGGATAGCTTTGTAGTTTTAGTTGTGTAAATAGCTGTGTAGTTTCAGTTGTGTGAATAGCTGTGTAGTTTATGTTGTGTGGATAGCCGTGTAGTTTTAGTAGTGTGAATAGCCGTGTAGTTTATGTTGTGTGAATAGCCGTGTAGTTTTAGTAGTGTGAATAGCCGTGTAGTGTTGGTGCGCACCCCGAGCTGCTGCGCTAACCGGCGACCGTGTTGTTGCCGGTGATGTAGCTGCTGCCGACTGTAGTGCGTCTGCGCATGTTCACTGGTGGCGGCGGCGGTGGTGGGCGTAGCATAAACAGCAGCCGCCGTCGTGGTGGTGGTGGTGGTGGTGCTGTCAATTAGAAGAGGCGGGCTTAAAACAATTATGTCCCGTCCCCCCCCCACCTCCTTATCTCTCACACACATACACACACATATCCTCGTTGAGGGGGGGGGGGGCAAATACTGGTAAAAGTTTGTTTTCTATATAAATTCAATTTCGTTTGGGGGAAAGGGCGGTAGACTTTCTTCGGGGGGGGGGGGGGGGGTCGGAGCACCTGGCAGAAACTCTGGCAACAGCTGTGAGTTTTGTTTTGTGACTTAGCGTAGAGTCCAGTACATTAATACGGATTTCGAGACAAGACTGGCAATGTCTTAAGTAGTTCGAATTCCGAGACAAGACTGGCAATGTCTTAAGTAGTTCGAATTCCGAGTCTTACGTAGTTCGAATTCCGAGACAAGACTGGCAATGTCTTAAGTAGTTCGAATTCCGAGTCTTACGTAGTTCGAATTCCGAGACATGTCTGGCAACGACTTTGTAGTCATGAAGACCACTCGTCTCTAGCACGAACGTAGGAAAACGTATGCGCTACAAAAGTACCTTCATACTAGCCTATGCCCTAGCCTGAATGTTGTTCAAACTTATTTCATCCTTCTTAGCTACACAAATTAGTGAATTTTAAAAATTTGAAGTAACTTTTTGTTTTCGATTCTAAACCAACAATTGTTCACTACAAAAAATGTAGTACGAAACAATGACGTGGCTAGACAAAATGACTTACGCGGCGGTTTTCCATCATAAGACAGCCAAGCAAAGATCAGGATAACTAGGGCTATAAATACATACGCCTTCTGTTTGTTGTCGAGGTAGCTCCTGGGGATAAGACATGTATCAAGCTGGTGGTAGAAACAGATAAGACATGTATCAAGCTGGTGGTAGAAACAGATAAGACATGTATCAAGCTGGTGGTAGAAACAGATAAGACATGTATCAAGCTGGTGGTAGAAACAGATAAGACATGTATCAAGCTGGTGGTAGAAACAGATAAGACAACATGTATCAAGCTGGTGGTAGAAACAGATAAGACATGTATCAAGCTGGTGGTAGAAACAGATAAGACATGTATCAAGCTGGTGGTAGAAACAGATAAGACAACATGTATCAAGCTGGTGGTAGAAACAGATTGGACAACATGTATCAAGCTGGTGGTAGAAACAGATAAGACATGTATCAAGCTGGTGGTAGAAACAGATAAGACAACATGTATCAAGCTGGTGGTAGAAACAGATAAGACATGTATCAAGCTGGTGGTAGAAACAGATAAGACAACATGTATCAAGCTGGTGGTAGAAACAGATAAGACAACATGTATCAAGGTGGTGGTAGAAACAGATAAGACAACATGTATCAAGCTGGTGGTAGAAACAGATAAGACATGTATCAAGCTGGTGGTAGAAACAGATAAGACATGTATCAAGCTGGTGGTAGAAACAGATAAGACAACATGTATCAAGCTGGTGGTAGAAACAGATAAGACAACATGTATCAAGGTGGTGGTAGAAACAGATAAGACAACATGTATCAAGCTGGTGGTAGAAACATGTGATGTCATATTTACTACAGCTAGGCTCGAGTCCGTAGGATGTCCCTGAGTTCACTCAGCTCTAATCAGTAACTGACACAATCTACTAGCTCTGATTGGTTACTTTTCCCGATTACCTTCCAACGAACCTGAGACAACACTACTTTTTCCAATTACCTTGCAACAAACCTGAGGTATCGATCCCTTTTCCCAATTGCATTTTAGCCAGCCTAACACAACAATACCTTGTTTTCTCCTGATTAACTTTCAACTAACCTGGTACAACAATACCTTGTTTTCTCCTGATTAACTTTCAACTAACCTGGTACAACAATACATTTTTTTTCTCCTGATTAACTTTCAACTAACCTGGTACAACAATACATTTTTTTTTCCTGATTAACTTTTCAACTAACCTGGTACAACAATACATTTTTTTTCTCCTGATTAACTTTTCAACTAACCTGGTACAACAATACATTTTTTTTCTCCTGATTAACTTTTCAACTAACCTGGTACAACAATACATTTTTTCTCCTGATTAATTTCAACTAACTTAGTACAACAATACCTTTTTTTCTCCTGATTAACTTTCAACTAACCTGATACAACAATACATTTTTTTTCTCCTGATTAACTTTTCAACTAACCTGGTACAACAATACATTTTTTTTCTCCTGATTAACTTTTCAACTAACCTGGTACAACAATACATTTTTTCTCCTGATTAATTTCAACTAACTTAGTACAACAATACCTTTTTTTCTCCTGATTAACTTTCAACTAACCTGATACAACAATACATTTTTTTCTCCTGATTATCTTTCAACTAAACTTGTACAACAATACATTTTTTCTCCTGATTAACTTGCAACTAACCTAGCACAGCAATACATTTTTTCTCCTGATTAACTTTCAACTAACCTGATACAACCATACATTTTTTTCTCCTGATTAACTTTTAACTAACCTTTTACAACAATACAATTTTTTCTCCTGATTAACTTTTAACTAACCTTTTACAACAATACAATTTTTTCTCCTGATTAACTTGCAACTAACCTTTTACAACAACACATTTTTATTCCTGATTAACTTTCAACTAACCTGGTACAACAATACATTTCCCCGGCTTCCCCACAACAGCCGTCGGTACAGTTGAGATTGGAATCCGGACCGCATCCTGCGAACAACAAGAATCATTCCCTTGACATCTGTATAGGCTCATGATTTCTCTTTACATCGTTTACTTGTCTATCCATTCAACAGTAATTAATTCAAGTGTAGTGCATTAAAATGTGTTTGTTAAGACAAAGGCATGCCAGGCTAGTATCTTGCTTCCGGTATAATTACTTTGAACAATGTGTTTGCAAGTAAAATCTCGTTTAAGTACTAAGATAGAGGGTGTTTTAAAGCAAGAACTTGTTTTAGTATTAAGACAGAGAGTGTTTTAAAGCAAGAACATGTTTTAGTACTAAGACCGAGGGTGTTTTATAGTAATATCGTCGTTTAAGTACTAAGATAGAGGGTATTTTAAAGTAAGATTGTCGTTTTAGTACTAAGACAGAGGGTGTTTTAAAGTAAGATTGTCTTTTTAGTACTAAGACAGAGGGTGTTTTAAAGTTAGATCGTCGTTTTAATACTGACAGAGGGTGTTTTAAAGCAAGAACCTATTTTAGTACTAAGACAGAGGGTGTTTAATGGGGGTCTACGACGAATTCCGGAAAGACACTTGCCTGAATGCCCTTTGCCCGAAGTCTTTTTCCGCATTTACACATTGTCCAAATGCGACAAATGTCCGAATGGACAAATGTCCGAATGCGACAATTGCCCGAATGGACACTAGCCCGAATGCAAAAGGCCTTAACAAAAGATATTGCAATTGCGTAAGCTCTAACACACGAGTTAAGTTCAAATAAATAAAAACATTACCTCCATTTAAAGAAGAGTTCTGAGACGCATCCGAACCGTTGACCGCCGCATTGGTTTCAGCTTCCTTCAGCCGAGCCGCCTCATCACTTTTGGCTTTTAACTTGTTCATTCTTTTTTTTATAGACTCGCGAACCGCCTCAAAGGCGGGACTCCGGATGCTGATTGCTTTTTTGGTCGTTAATTGGCGACCAAGGAACGCTTGTTCCAGATTCTTCTTGTATTTTTCTAAATAGTTTTAAACATGTTTTATATTAGAAATGTAGGGCCTACGTGTAAGTTTGTCAATTTCGTGTAAAACCATAGCTTTGTTTATCAATCTAGCGTCTGTACGATTTACAAATGCGGATAGTATTTCTTTCAGACTTTTTTCTCCTCGGAAGAAAAAAAAAATATTTTCGGGGGGGGGGGGGTGGACTAAATTTTCTGGGGAGGGGGCGGACCTTGGTAAAAGTATATTTTCTATATAAATTCTATTTCGTAATAGGGGACGGTAGATGTGCTTCGGGGGTGAGGGAGGGGCTCTGCCCACCAACCCCCCCCCCCCCCTCAACCTCCCTACATAGAGTCGACTGAAAGAAACTGTATATGTGACTTTTGTCAAGTTTGAGCTTATGTGCAGGGTTTAGGGGTATGACTACGTCTACTATGCAATAACAGCGTGTAGAGCAACGTAAAATCCGGTTAAAATACCGATTTTGGATAAAAATCCGTTTTCAATGACATTTTTCGGTTCTGGTCATATCTAAAGTTGAGGTGGTGATGTTGGTTTTGGTTTCGGTTTAGAGAAAAAGACAACACTATCAACCTAGCGCCAGTTGTATTTCTCCCTCAACGGGCCATTTATCTCGTTCTTTAAATAGTTTTAGAATTATGTTTGCTGTGTGTTGTTAAAATATCTGGATATAAAAACTTTACGGTGAGGTTTATGTTCAACTTTACTAAAGATTTGATGTATCTAACGTTTGTAGTATTTTCGGTAACAAAAACAAAATTTTAAAAAGCCAAAAACAATATGGGATGTTGTTGTTGTTTTTTTTTTTCTCACTGAAAATAGAAATGAACATGGCATTACTAGTTCATTTAGTTTTAAAAAGTCTAATTTCATTACGTCGGTTATTACCTCCGTTTTTGCGCACCAAATTCAAGGCGGATCTCTGTCTGATGATAGCTTCATTGATGGAAATTCGGTTTTCATCTAACGCTTGTGCCAAATCCTTCATCCTTTTCTCTAAACATTTTTAAACATGGTTTATAATTAGGACACACAGTCAGGTAAGTTTGTCAATGTCGTATAATACGATAGCTTATACTACCAATCTAGACGCTAGTGGTTCGATCTTCTTCTTCGTTCTTAATTTTTAGTGTTGGGAGGGATCGAGCCCTATCTGCCAGAGGGTTTGAACTCGAGACTTTTTTTTCGAATTTATCAACCATGAGCTTTGCCGACTCGACCATGCTTCCATCACAATTAAGGATTACGTGTCCATTGAGGCCATTGACTCCGATTTCAGCCTGCTTTTCTTTTTGGATTTGCTTCCATAGCCTTTGTCCAACCAAGAACAAACTACAAGGAAGCAGTTGTTGAATTTTTGAGATTTCTCTCCTAAAAGAGTGGCTGTCCCCAGTTAACGAGCCTCATCTGCCCGAGGGTTCGAACTCGAGACTTTTCGGTTTAGCAACCATGAGCTTTACCGACTCGACCACGCCGACGTTCGATCGAACCCAAGGGATTCTGTGAGCCAGTATCAGGGAGTCAAGACACACCCCCGATTTTAATGATCCATGATTGGATTTTGTCAGTGTGGATGATATGACTATTATTTTAATATCAATTAACAAGTAAATACCTTCATCCTAGCCCAACCCCCGCCCCGCCCCCCCCCCCCCCCCACTAAAACATACATAATGCATACTAACTCCGATTAACAATGTGGATTAGTTTTATAGTATACATATTATAATTATATAATACATAATTAAAATTATTCGAAAAAATTAACAACAAACGACACATTGCTATTTTATGATATTTTCACTTTATGTCATTTGAATATATAATCTAAACAAATCTAACAATAGAATATAGAGAAAAATGTATTATAATTTCGTGGGTTTTGTTATGGTGACGACCGTATCCCATACTCTAGGCCTGAACCCCAACACAACATTATACCTAAATATTCCTCTAACGTCTCGCCATCTACGTGGACAGGAAATCTCAGGCACCACAACACCATCAGCAGATAGAAAAGTCCGGCACTATCCATTTGGTGAGTGTAGGCTCCCCACAGCTAGACAATGGCGGAAGTATACGATGTTTTCAAAATGACGTCAATGTTTTGAGTTGCCAGCTAGCAATTTTTGTAAACATTAGTTTCGTTTTTATTAACATGCCTAGAAAGTAAATCTACAAATTTTGATGGAGATCAACGTGAAAAGTCTCTAATAATTCTTAACATATGTTTAGGATTGTGTGTTGAGTGTTACTAAAACATCTGGTTATAAAAAATATATGATGAGGTTTTTATGTTGAACTTTACTAAAGGTTGGATGTATCTAATGTTTGAAGTATTTTCGGTAACAAAACAACATTTTTAAAAAGCCAAAAGAAATTTGTTTTTTTTTTCTTATTTTCTCGCCGAAAATGTAAATTAACATGGCTTTGCTAGTTCGTGTATCTTTAATTTTAAACTTGTATCGGGAAAGTGTTTAGATCAAGTACAAATTACAAAGTAGTGTTTTCAGATTATCGATCGTGTAGTTCCTATACAGTCAATCAAAGTTTGTCTTACTAAAGTGAAACTTTAAGTTATAGGCGTAATAATCATAAATAATAATAGTTTTAAGTTATCTGTACTAGCAACTTTTATAACATGGGTTCTTAAAATATTTATTTTATGAAATATTTTCAAGCTTAAGTGTATTTCTTTATTCATGTCAACAATAAGGATGGAAGCCATATCGTCTAACTTCACGTTCTCCATTTAAATTGTACAAACTTTTTTCAATGATATCTTGATTTACGGGGCTTGACTACAAAACTTTGTTTTCTAAATTAAATTTCTCTATCAATTAACATTAGCTGCGTTTATTTTTGGTATTTATTTTCCGGAGATATAACTGTCTAGTCATTGTAGCTGATACTTAAAAGCAAGTCTTAACTGTTCGAAATAAAAAAAACTACAAATTGACATTGTATACTTTAACAAATCACAGATATTATTATATTAAGTAGAGGACCAAAACAAAAACAAACAAAAAAACGTTATAAAATGCTTTTACTAATTAAGCAGTAAATGAAGTTAAGTATTAGTCCATACGTCACGGCATAGCTCTGGGAGAACTAATTTAGCAGAACTGTACTCTTTGTTCAAAAACTAAAAGAAGAGCTAACCTTTAAAAACCTAAAGTTTTAATAAGGTGAACCTGTTTCTGTGAGCTAAACAACACTAAACGTTTAATGCGGTACATTCTAAGACCAGCTGCCAATACCTGGAACACAATCAGAACCAGGGACGTCCCACAGACTCCAGAAAAAGATTCGAACCTGAGAAAGTCAGCATAGCAGGCGTGTGTTCTACCAACCGGCCTCATCGTACCATGAGTACTCAATGACAATTAAATAGGTTTCTCAAAAGTCATGAACGCTTGTCTTTTATTGTGGTTACAAATGCAGTGTAAAATTTGAGAAGAAAATTGTTTAGTTTGTGCATGTTGATTATTATTGAAATTGTCAGTTGTGAATTTTTATTTTTTATTTTTGTAACAGAAAAAAGTCCTAAATTAAGAAACTACTGTAAAGAAAAAACCTGCCTATACTATATAATGCTCCTTATTACATTTTTATTTCTTTTATAACTTTTATCAGATTTTGTAAATAACTTTGGACTTAATAAACTGTACTTTTTTTTCAAAACATACAAACCGAATGAAATTTTGCCCTTTCGAACTAGATTCCAGTAAGGCAGAAAAATTTTAGTTGTCCTGATAACCAGTAGAGCAGATAAATTTTCTTACTGTATTTACGAAGTGTGTAATATAATAACAAGTATACTTATAGTTTATTTGATTATACCATGATAATTTGAATGAATTACCTTATGCTTGATTGATTTCCGTATTTTTTAACAAATAGCCGTACGTTTAAGTGAAGTATTCGTCATAGATTTGTCCGGATAAATAGCCGTTTGTTTTCATGAACGAATTGAAAGTTTATCTAAAGCAGGTTTTACATACACAAATATTTTAGACTAAAAGTAAACAAAGTGCAGATCACGCAACACAAACGAATGGCAAGCTTTTGCGGTCAGGTATTTTATTTAAAATATTGTAAACTGTTTTACATTGATACTTTCTTCAATAATTTCTTTACGTTTACATTATCAAAATGTGACATTATCACGAAAAAAAGGATTTTCAGTCCTCTAAAAATATTGATTTTTATAACTCTGCAAAAATTTCTCAATGATTCTGTATAAATTTTTTTCTAAAAATCAATGTTTGGTTTTTTCTAAAATGATAAGCCATTTAACAAATTCATTACCGTAACTTTAGCATACTTTGTTAAGAATTTTTAATCCTCTAAAAATATTGATTTTTATAACTCAGCAAAAAGTTCACAATGATTTTTTAAGAGTTATGGTATATTTTTTTCTAAAAATCAAGTTTTTGTTTTCTAAAACGATAATGTGTTCAACTTATTCGTTTCCATAACTTGAGTATCGTTTGTTAAGTATCATGTTAGAAACAATTATGTAAGCTCTGTTTTTAAATGCCAAAAAATGTGCCTCAGAATTACATTTCGATATAGGCACCACACTACGATGTGGAAGAAAGATATGTTGAACGTGTAATTAAAATAATCTTAGGTATGTTTGGTGCCTGTGAGGTTTTAGTTATGTCAGTGAATGTGTACTTTCGTTTATGTAATAACTGATTATTTTAAGTTGTGTTATGATTGTGTAGTTGTAGTTGTGTTATGATTGTGTAGTTGTAGTTGTGTGATGACTGTGTAGTTGTAGTTGTGTGATGACTGTGTAGTTGTAGTTGTGTGATGATTGTGTAGTTGTAGGTGTGTGATGATTGTGTAGTTGTGTGATGACTGTGTAGTTGTTGTTGTGTGATGATTGTGTAGTTGTAGTTGTGTGATGACTGTGTAGTTGTTGTTGTGTGATGATTGTGTAGTTGTGTGATAACTGTGTAGTTGTAGTTGTGTGATGACAGTGTAGTTGTGTGATGACAGTGTAGTTGTAGTTGTGTGATGACTGTGTAGTTGTAGTTGTGTGATAACTGTGTAGTTGTTGTTGTGTGATGACAGTGTAGTTGTGTGATGACTGTGTAGATGTAGTTGTGTGATTACTGTGTAGTTGTAGTGTGATAACTATGTATTTGTGTGACAACTGTGATGACTGTGTTGTTGTAGCTGCGTGATAAGTGTGAAGTTGTAGTTGTGTGATGACTGTGTATTTGTGTGATATATGTGTGGTGACTATGTATTTGTAGTTGTGTGACAACTGTGTGGTGACTATGTATTTGTATTTGTGTGACAAACTGTGTGATGACTGTGTAGTTCAAGTTCGAGCCAGTGTGTTACATCAGAACGCTGTCGTCCCCTCCGGACGTCCTAGGGAAGTATTTGTTTCCGACTGACGTGGTCCTTCTTGTGGGTGGGACCACAACTTGCGGTACCATGGGCCTCAGTAACCTCTGTGGGAGTACAACTGTAAACAAAACAACAGAGTTGTGTGGTGTTTGTAACATCTGTAGTAGTACAACTGTAAACAAAACAGAGTTGTGTGGTGTTTATAACATTTAAAATTAAACTCCTGCTCAATATAAACAATACATATGTATTATATCCTGAACATGCATCGTTTCCTGTTACATTGATTGCTATTTATTCGAATTATAAAAAACACCTGCTATTAAGATTAGCACGACAAAATAGCACTTTAATAACTCTGGTTTCTAGATCCGCAACATTATTCACAAACTTCCGTATACGATTCTGCATTTACGTTATTTCTCAAGACTATAACAGTAAGATGAAGATACAAATCGTGTAAACACTTACTGCGAGGTCGGGTCGCCATAGTGAACCAGAAGAAGTCCAGGGCAAGAACGCAAGCAGCGTAGAGCCCCATGGTCAAGCGATAGAGACACTCCAGACCTACACACTTGCTGTTGATGAAAGAACAGACGTGGTAATAGACGCGGTATGGGAACCTGGGTGTGGTGGGGCCTAAATTCCCGACGGATTTCAATATTTATTCTGTCTTGAGGTTTATGGTGTGTTTGTTGTTGTTTTTTTACTTAATATCTATATATATAATTCTTTTCTTGGAGACCCTAGAAAACACCAAGCTGTAAGCGCGCCTAGCAGTCTCCACTCTTTCTATCTAGGCATATCGCTACCACCCCCATCCCCACATGGTATGGTGAGCTGTGGTTCACGCTAAATGTTTACGATCGTAGAGACGGGTTTAGTGACGGCTTTTAGGGGCAGATAATTTAGTTTGAAACGATTTTAAACTTAGGGGAGGTAACTAAGAGGAGGCTGCTTTCACGAGGGGGGGGGGGGGTAGGGGTTAGGGGAAAGGAGGGTTTTAGTGTTTTAAAGCAAATATTTTCAGTGGCAGCGGGTCGGCTCCTTTTAAATGTCGTTTCTTATCAACATGAGCTAATTTTAATATTTAGATAAAAGTAAAGTACCCTTTTCGAACCTTACAGTTCACTGGGCAAATGAAGTGATGGTGTAGTCAGCACTATGCCCAGCCGCCTTTACTTTCCCCAACGTGAGTCGGGTACCCATCACAGCTGGGTGGACTCAACGTACGTCGTAAGGACTCCAGCCACGGGACCCGAACCCGAAGATCTTGGGTTAGCAGTCGAACGCTCTACCATTCGACCTTATCTTATAATATTAACGGTCAGGATATTTAGAGACAAGAGAAATGATTAATAAGATATTAAACACACTTGCAGTTTCTTTTGTGAATCTCTTCAATGTGTCCTTTACACCCCCCCCCCCCTTTGGTCACCTCCAACCCCCCCCCCCCCCCACTCCCCCTATCTCCCCCACGATAATTGAAGTTTTGATCCTCCCCCCCCCCACCTCGAAAGTTTCACCCCGCTATTCCCCCCCCCCCCCACCCCCCACCCCCCATTTCCCACTTGAGAAAAAAGGAAGAACATCACATCAGAAATAACGAACGAAATTAAGTTTACCTGTATCCTGCAACTAGTACGTCATAAAAGTAGAGGTGATAACTAAATCAGGAAAGAGAATGACACAAAATTAATTACTAATTACTTGTTCCTAATTGTGAAGTTTATATTTTATTCAGGTTTAAACGAAAACGGGACCCTGGTCTCGAGTCCGTATGCTATCCCGGAGTCCACCCAGCACTAATGGGTACCTGACTCAGGTTAAAGAAACCATAAGCTGACCAGATTATTTCAAAGTCGCAGTAACAGGTGAACTCTATTTCGATGAACCGCCACTTTTACTTTCTCGTATATAAAGTATAGAGGGAATATTGTAAACGTGCAAAAAATCGAAATTGAGATTTTGACAAATCTCGTCGTTTTACACCTCCCTGATTTTTGCAATTTTGTCTGTATATCTGTGTGTGTGTGTCTGTATATCTCTCTGTGTGTTTGTCTGTGGACACGATAAGTGTAGTACCGTTTTAGTTATGTTGACGAAATTGTGTAATTCTGAATCAGCTTCAGAACTATTTCCGTTAGCTGGAAGTGGTACTTCCACTACTTCCGGTTTCTCAAAAACCAGTTACTTGAGTAGTTTTAGTGAGGTGGACGAAATTTCACATATGAATATTACATTGTAAGCGCAAATTTTGAACTATTTTCGGTAACCGGAAGTAGTACTTTACAGTACTGTGTTTCCGGTTTCTTAAATACCGATAAATTGAGTACCGTTTCAGTCGGGTAAACCAAAATTTTAAACATAGGTATACAATCTTATTCTCTTCCGGATTTTGGTAGTTTTCCGATGAACTTTACGCCATCTGCCGGACCGATTTCTCCAAACCTTTTCACGTAGGTCTAAACTGGATGACATTGTGACAAAACTTGACCGAATTGGATGTTTCATTAACTTTTTTAAAAACGAATAACTTTATATATATATATATATATATATATATATATATATATATATATATATATATATATATATATATATATATATATATATATATACATATATATATATATATATATATATATATATATATACATATATATACATATATATATATATATATATATATATATATATATATATATATATATATATATATATATATATATATATATATATATATATATATATATATATATATATATATATATATATTAAACCAACATTGTAGCACTAAACTTGAGCTAGCGTAAATTTGAATTTGGGATAAATTAGATTTTCCGATTGTATCTAATTAAACGCTTTGGGTGGAACCAGCGTTACTTATATAAAGCTCAGCCTATGCTATTTGGACTTGAGGTGCCTTGTCGTATTATGATATAGTATTTCGTCAAATGTGTAACGATTTAACGTGGTCAAGCTTTAGCGGCCGCGTTTGTTGATTTAACAAATACAAAAGCTGCATTGTGTTTTCTATTCTACCAGACATTGGTGGTTAGAAAAGACAATCAAAACAAACCTGCTACAGCAGTGTCTTTCCCCTATCGAACCACAACAAACTTGTTCACACTGGTATCTGGTGTAGTTGTTTGGTCCGTGGAAGGTGGTGCATATTTTTGTTTCTGTAAAGAAGTTGTTGTTTTTTTTTAATCACTCTCTGCCTGAAATGTTTTTTACTAGCTTTCATACGACATGATGTCATGTAAGAAATCAAGAGTGCACTGGACGGCCTGACCGGGCACTGGACGGCCAGGCCGTCTAAAGAGTTCAAAACATTGATGATGGTGTTGTTTTGTTTTGTGCCATATTTGGTCATTCTAGAAATGCCTCGAGTCCTATCAGCAGCTCCTGTGACACTCAGTGTTTCTTCCAGAATTTTTTCTCTGGGGGGCACTTGAAATTTTCGGTGGGGAGGGAGACTTTTTTCGGGGGGGGGGGGGCGGATACTGTTAAAAGTATATATTTTCTATATAAATTTCATTTCGTTCGGGGGGCGGTAGACTTTCTTCGGGGGGGAGGGGGCTGGATGCCTGGAAGAAACTCTGGTGACACAGCTGATTTAAAGCTGTACAGGTAACGTCCTGTCCCTTGGATCCATCAGCTGTGTAGAGAGGCCTGATACATGGGCTACATCTGGCTCTTCTCAACATAGGGCCCAAATTTTGTGCTTGGATTCCCAATACACAATCAGCCAATGTTCTATTTGACTATAAAGCCATATGAGCCATATAAAATGCCTCACATACAAAAAGGCAAGAGGTGCTAAATCTAACAGGTGCTAAACCTAAGACAAGAGACGTCTGACTTGATGCATGGAAGGAGAGGCGATTTGGTGCCGTGTGAAATGGTAGGTTCGGATACCGTTGGGTTCTGTCTGTTCTGTCTTTACTTGGACTATGTTTTGTACCTTTGTCTAACCTTGGCGTTAAAATATCACTTTATTTTTATATTGCGACAAGAGACGCTAAACCTACGACAAGAGACGCTAATTCTAAGGCAAGAGGTGCTAAATCTAAGGCAAGGGGTGCTAAATCTAAGGCAAGGGGTGCTAAATCTAAGAAAAGAGGTGCTAAATCTAAGACAAGAGGTGCTAAATCTAAGACAAGAGGTGCTAATTCTAAGACAAGAGACGCTAATTCTAAGGCAAGAGATGCTAAATCTAAGGCAAGGGGTGCTAATTCTAAGAAAAGAGGTGCTAAATCTAAGACAAGAGGTGCTAAATCTAAGACAAGAGGTGCTAAATCTAAATCTAAGAGGCGCTAAATCTAAGGCAAGGGGTGCTAAATCTAAGGCAAGAGATGCTAAATCTAAGGCAAGGGGTGCTAAATCTAAGGCAAGAGGTGCTAAACCTAAGACAAGAGGTGCTAAATCTAAGACGAGGGGCGCTAAATCTAAGACAAGAGACGCTAATTCTAAGGCAAGAGATGCTAAATCTAAGACAAGAGGTGCTAAATCTAAATCTAAGAGGCGCTAAATCTAAGGCAAGGGGTGCTAAATCTAAGACAAGGGGTGCTAAATCTAAGACAAGAGACGCTAAATCTAAGACAAGAGACGCTAAATCTCTAAGACGAGGGGCGCTAAATCCAAAACTAGCAATAGGGTACAGCTTGGTAAATTTCATAGGATGGATGCGATCTTTTGTCGAAGGCCCTTCTGATTATGTCAGCTTGACGCAATTAACGAGGTAGTTTTATCATTGACTGTTTTTACACCCAAAAAATTTTTCGGTGAGTGGGAATATGTATTTCCGCCTCATGCTATGCCACTGAACATCATTTTCTTGCCTATGAACATAAGGTGTTTGTTTTTTTAATTATTATTCTCGAATTTTCATCAAAAACGTATACATCTCAAAACTACATTTTTAAAATATGTTGTTTTTTTTCCAATAGAATAGCTAATCGATTTCTATGAACTTACCGGGGGTTGGTTTAATAAATTTCAAATAGACTGTGGAAAAGAAAACATATATCAATGTTATTATATTATTTGTACATTATTAGCATGAACCATAACCATAACCCTACACCTAACCAAAACCATAACCATAACCATTACCATTACCATTACCATAACCATAACCACAACCCTACACCTAACCATAACCATAACCATAACCATAACCATAACCATAACCACAACCACAACCACAACCATAACCATAACCATAACCACAACCACAACCATAACCAGAACCATAACAATAACCATGACCATAACCCCAACCTTAGACCTAAACCTAAACCTACACCTACACCTACTCCTAAACCTACACCTACACCTACTCCTACACCTACACCTACACCTACACCTACACCTACACCTACACCTACACCTACACCTACACCTACACCTACACCTACACCTACACCTACACCTACACCTACACCTACACCTACACCTACACCTACACCTACACCTACACCTACACCTACACCTACACCTACACCTACACCTACACCTACTCCTACACCTACACCTACACCTACACCTACACCTACACCTACACCTACACCTACACCTACACCTACACCTACACCTACACCTACACCTACACCTACACCTACACCTACACCTACACCTACACCTACTCCTACACCTACACCTACACCTATTAGTCCCCTTGTTTAAGTCTGAGTTTGGATGGAAGCCGTAATAGTCATAAAATAATCAAACATATTTCAACATATTTTAAAATGTTTATCAGTTTATTCAACAGAAATGGCCCTATCCCCGCCTGTTTCCAAGACTCAAACCATTATCCTAACAATCAGTCACCAGACAGACCACGCCCTGTAGACTAGAGAAGTACTCTATTGAACTATCACAATACTTTACTAACTCAACAATACTCAACACCTTTTTTACAAGCTTTTATTTAACTCACTTCCTTTGTCGACAGTCTGTCGTCAGTCGTCAGTCTAGATCGAAACGCCGGAGCGAAATTGCAGGCACTTCTGCTTGACAGATACGGTTCGTAATTGGGTCAAGACATGAAGACAATGCATCGTGACATTAAATTTGATTTAATTGGATGCATAATTAATTTTTTATGAATTTTGTCCAAATTAGTAGGCATTTCTATCCAACTACTCCACACGCGTCATCACGATAAATAGCGCGTCATCACGTTCAAAAGGCGCGCAATGGTTTTTAGTCATGAAACTCTAAATTTAAAAAATGTAAAGTACTAAAACAAAATTTCATAAAAAAAACGTTTTAATACCAAGCTTTTATGTACTAATGCACTAAAAAGTAGAAAATAAATTATAGACTACTATTTAAAAAACTATAAAGAAAAGCATGGGTCTCTTACGAAACATTAGTAAAGGTATCCAATAGATACTAAAGCTTGTTATTAGAACGTTTTTATGAAATTTTTTTTATTATTACTGACTAATGATTAGTTACATAGATTTAAAATAATTCAACTAGTGTTAATTTACGAACCTGAATAGACTATGATCAAAATTAAATTCACAACAAGCTTTCTCTTCATTGTTTGTAGATCAGGTTTTTGTTTTACAAATTTTATAAAAGTTTTAGCAGCTGAGCGTTGAAGGATTTTTACGATGTTTGAATACCTGTCGTCAAGTTTGTGTTGCCAGAAAGCATCTTCTATCGCCAAAGTTTAGTTTTAATCTGTCTATTAAAAAGAAGCTACTTCCGTTTTCTTTAAATTGTAAACAATATAGATTTAGTCTTAGCTTTTTATTAATTGGTAGATTTGTAAACACGATAGTATTGCTATGTTGTTTATTTGTTAATGTTGAAATACAGCCATATATTTTCTTTCTCTTTTTTTCTCTTTTGCATGAAGTTTTATTTTTTTGTTTTAATTATTTGTGTTAAATCTAATCAAGGAAGGTTGTTATGGCAATGATATATTTATCTAAACTCTTCACCACGGTCTAGGTCTATAAGACCAGCTTTACATCACAATGTAGCTCTATAAGACCAGCTTTACATCACAATGTAGCTCTATAAGACCAGCTTTACATCACATTGTAGCTCTATAAGACCAGCTTTACATCACAGTGTAGTTCTATAAGACCAGCTTTACATCACAGGGTAGCTCTATAAGACCAGCTTTACATCACAGTGTAGCTCTATAAGTCTATAAGACCAGCTTTACATCACAGGGTAGCTCTATAAGACCAGCTTTACATCACAGTGTAGCTCTACAAAAACAGCTTTACATCACATTGTAGCTCTACAAGAACAGCTTTATATCACATGAGGGACTGTATGTTTGTTTTGTACTCATTACTACGCCTTTCATTCGATTGCCATGAAACGTTGGGGACTGAATGAAAACGAGCTGACTCGCGGTGTATCATACGCCGCTATTTAGTTGTTTTATTTTCTAGTTATCAGGACTTCATAGAAAGTGAATTCGATACTACCCAAATCGTTTAAAGGCTAAATTATCTGCCGTCACTAAACTCAACCCGGCTCTACGATTGTAAACATTCGGGGTGAACCGTAGCTCACCAGAATGGTGGGGGTGGGGGTGGTAGCTATATGTCTAAAGAGCGAGGGGAGTAACGGCGTGCGTTTACGAGGTGTCTCGCATGGTCCCTATGAAGAGAACTATAAATATAGATACTCCTGGGGTGGCTTGTGTGGGGGAAAAAATTCAAATTTCGGGAAGGGGGGAGGGGGACACGGCAGGGAGCAATTGGGCGCCCTGAGCTGCTCAGTGGCTATCTCAGCGCATGCAAAGGGAGTCAGTGTTTCTAATTGATTTAATTGGAAAACCGCAGTAGGCGCATCCACCAGCGCCCCGGCGGTCGGTTGCACCGGAGCACCCATGGCTCCCCCGTGAGTACTATATATGTATATATATATATATATATATATATATATATATATATATATATATATATATATATATATATATATACATATATATATATATATATACATATATATATATATATATATATATATATATATATATATATATATATTAAAATCTAGAACAAACATTAAAGAAAACTCCAATGTCATTGAATCATAAATTTAATCACATAGGATGATGTTACAGGGAATATTCGTCTGAAGGATCAGTGTTCGATACTTTTTTACAAATATCGTATGGTTAGAATACAGTTATAGACAAACAACTAATGTGGTACAAAAACCATCTGCGTCACATGCGAATCGTTTCATCATCGTCTAGCACAGGGGCGGACTTAAGCAGTTGGTTGAGGGGTGGGGGGGGGGATGGCTCAGGCACAAGGTCGAACTTTAGCATTGGGTTTTGGGGTGGGGTGGGGGATTCAGACACTAAGGGGACGTTACGGTATGGTCCACTAGAACTTGTTGTTCATGTGATACTCCGTGTCTTTTGTCACTTGTTGTTCATGTGATACTCCGTGTCTTTTGTCATATTTTTGTCCGACAGCTTTGTCTGAATGGGTTAATTGCTATGAGGTGCACATACAAATAACTAGAACCTATACGAGACGATAATGCAATACATTCAAGACTATATATATACATATATATATGTATATATATATATATATATATATATATATATATATATATATATATATATATATATATATATATATATATATATATATATATATATATATATGCTTTCTTGTATGCTATTCCAGAAATTTTGTGGATTGCTATGAAAAATACGACTATTCTACCCAGAGAAACAGCAGCTTTGATGAACATTACTCCAAAAGTGACCATGTCACATATGAAAACATTTCTTTCTAGTTGATTGTCAGCTAAATTGATAGAATGGGTTATCAAAATATCTCATCGAACTGCAACCAATTGTTCATTACAAAGTATATCTGGTGATGGAGTTTTACAAATGACTTTGCATCTGTCCTGTTGTGAACACATCGCGTGGGAAATGTATGCGACGTCTTGACCTGGATAAGGCTGACGTTTTCATTCTATTACATTTTCCAACTGTTTTTATATCATCTTCAAATCATCCACTCGGCCTGTAGTTTGTGTGACAATTCTTAGAACTGTTATCAGTAACGTTTTGCTGCATGTTATCAGAAATGTTCTGCCATGTGTTATCAGTAATGTCCTGTACAGAGTAACTTATTTGAAATTTAAAAAAACTCAATCCTTTCTTATGCTGTCATTGTAGACTTCTTATCCGTCGTGTATAAAAATAAACCTTATATGTGTAATCGTGCAGGTGAGTGAATAATTTAGATGTACTGTGTGGTAGCAGTGTGTGTTAAATGTGTAATCTGATTGTATGTGTTGTGTTAGTGTCTGTGTAGTTTTAGCGAGAATGTGTTAAATGTGAAGTTTTAGCGAAGTGTGTGTTAAATGTGTAGTTTTAGCGAAGTGTGTGTTAAATGTGTGGTGTTTGTAGTTATAGCGAGGTGTGTGTTAAATGTGTAGTTTTAGCGAGGTGTGTGTTAAATGTGATATGAATGTGTAAGTGTCTGTGTAGTCTTAGAACACGTCGCCAATCGCCGTGTTAAGTGCCAATGTTCCCGTTGAACGTACGACCGAAGTATTTCTCTCCGACGGAAGTGCGCCTGCGTCGGAACGGGGCGTCACCGGGCGTCACCTGGGTTTGTACGTTCTGGGATGGCACCACTGGAGGGTTGAAAATGGGTTGCTGTGGCGGCTGTGCTGTAAAAGAAAGGGTTGTCATGTAATACCAAATATACATAATGACACTCCACCCACCTATCTATCTCTCCCCTCCCTCCTCCAACCCTTCGCTTAATTAATTTAGCTCGTCTAGTTTTCTACATGTATGGCGATCACATGCTATGTTTCTTTCAGACTTTTTCTCCGAAAGGGGGACTTGAAAATTTCGGAAGAGGGAGTTGGGGGGGGATAAATTGTCTGGGAAACGGAAACTAGTAAAAGTAAATATTTTATATACAATTTCTATTTCGTTTGTTTGCGTTAGGTGTGCTTCGAAGAGATGCCTGAATGAAACAATGATCAGATGTTGTTCTAGATATCTAGTCCTTATCTTAAAAATATAAAAATTAAGAAGCTACTAAGTTTAAGATTTTAAAATTTATAAACTACCTTAAGGGGCAACTTCTAATTAACATCGTTTCAGTACAATAATAGTAATCAGAAATAATGTGAATATAAGCTAAACGGATAAGGTTACCCGGAGATTTTTGTTTTTTAAAATGCCAGACCAGTAGCGATACGACGATTCCAACAGTGATGAACACCAAGAGTCCTTTAACCCCAGGGTTCCAGTAACTGTGGAGAAGACAACACATGTTTAAAGCTAATAGGTTACAGGAAAAGTTTTACATGGGTCGCCAGGCCCCCTTGTCGACGCCCATGACACACACCCCCTCACACACAACACGCACACTTAACACAAGAGGTGAAATAGATGTGTGTCCATTTTAAATTTTAAATGGTTTGACTCGTCAGTACCCCACCCCAATCCTGCCTGGATCTATTTACTTTCTATAGCATTAACCGAAGGGAAGTAACTAATGCTTCATAAATCAAAATCCCTCCCCCCCCCCCTCCCAACTCACCATTTACTAACCACCCTCCACTAATGTCTAACAAAGATCTAGTCGACACTGACCGGGTGATCTATTTTTTCTAGTGTAAAAAAAAACCTTACACTACACTCTGCCATTCGTGCTGGAATATAAATAAATAAATATATATATATATATATATATATATATATATATATATATATATATATATATATATAGAAAGAGAGAGAGAGAGAGAGAGAGCGAGAGATGTACATATATATACAGAAGACCCAGATAAAGCATGAAATTAAATATACATATGGGAAAGTTTTACTTGTAACATGTAACAAAAGTATTTATTTTAGTATTTTCTAGACACGACGTATAGATATCACGATACACAGAACTGATTCGCGATATACCTGATCAATTAGCGGTTAAAGCTCATTAGTTTAATCACGGCCGTTGAGCGACTGACGCGTTGTGTTGGTTCGGTCAAGAGAAAATTGAACTGAGATTGTATATGTACAAGACATCGCTGATTTGGTGTATCATAAAACAACAACCCACCTGGGACAACAGTGTCTGTCGCCGACCTCACCACAACAGCCGAAATTACACTGGACCTTCTTGTCAGTTTTCGGTCCGCGGTCGACATCACAAGTTTTGGTCTCTGTCGCAAAAAATAATTGTTACATTAGCTGCAGTCGAGGATAGTAAAGTTCCCTTTCAAGCCTGACGGTCTACGAGGCAAGTGGAGTTCACTTGGTTCTGTGACTTCGGCGTATGATGGGATAGTGTGGTCAGCACTATGCCCAGCCGCCTTTACTTACTCTAACGTGAGTTAGGTACCCATCAGAGCTGGGTGGACTCAAGGACGGTCTACTGACTTGAACCCGGATTCGAATATGGGTTAGCCGTCCAGCTCCCTACCGCTAACCCACGCTTTATTATACGGATAACTTAATCAAGAACAGTTCAGTTCAATTTTTTTATTCGTGTATATTATTAGCATACAATCTAGAGTCTTACTACACATACCATTATATGTGTAGGCCTACATGTACGTGCATATGTTTTGTATGCATATGTATATAGTAAATTTGCCTGTATCTAGAAATCTTTCTAATTTCCTCTTGTATCTATAAAATGTGTAAACAATGTCTGTGATCAACAGCTCATCTGATATTAAATAAAACGGCCCGAAGCCTAACTGTATCCCAGATCCAAACCATCATCCTAACCTACCTTCATACCTGCCCTATTAAAAAATGACTATATTTTAACCAAGATAGTATACTAGATCTAGATTCTAGGATTGATAATGCCAAACATGGCATGTTTAACTAATTTACTAAAGTAAACTAAAGGAACGCGTTTTTGCACAATTTAAAGATATGAATGGGTTTTTTTTATTAAACTATGTACTGAGTTTTTAAAGACTAATGCAAGGGGTAATTTGCGAACCTGTGTCGATTAGAAAACTTAAGAAATTCACAAGCAATAGTCTTAGTATTTTATCCATTTGATATTGTAAGTTCCATGCACTGTAGATGAAAATGCCGGAAGTAGATCTAGTCAATGCTACAACACAATGACGTCATTTCTTTTCTTTTAGTTGCCAGAAAAAAAAATATTTAGCCAAAATTTTGAGTTAGGCCTAACCTGTCTAGAGAGTATGTAGTTAGTTCTACTTGCATTAAACTATAAGCAATTTTGGTTCAAGGATATGGTTTAATTGTTTTATGTTGTAAATACGTACCATTACTTAGTCACATTCAAATGAATATTGAGATTTAGCTTATGTGAATATTTTTTATAAAAATTGCTGTTTATAATTTTGCAGCCGAACTTCTTTTTCTTTCTTAATACTAATATTGCAATAATCCGATACAATGAAGTATTATCGATCAAATCGTTATGCGCTATGTAGCTCGTTAACTTCGACTTCAGCTTTGTTATCTTTCTGTATTTCCTTCCAAAGTCTTTGTCCACCCCCCGAACAAATGTCAAGGCATCAGTTGTTTCAATTTGGAGTTGTCTCACCAACTTGGGATGATGTCCCTTTTTAACAACCCTCGTCTGCCAGGGGTCCGAGCTTGCCCCACCCACTGTGCCCTGCTTTCGTGGAGGTTTCGCCTTCATATTAACATGCCCAAACCCTAATCTCACCTAGATATTGATCACGTGATCAAAATTCTAGACATCTCAACATAGGTATGTATGATCCAGTTTTACGGAACTACACATAGCTATAACACATTTCACATAAAGGCTATGAATGTTTAACAAAGTCTCGATTTTTTTGTACTTGTAACCGACCAAATTCTGATGTATATTGGTTACAAATTATCTGCAAAATCTACGATAACACTTTGTGATGTTGGAGAAGCTTTAAAAATAAATCAATGTTGTTTTTTTTAAAATAAATTAATAACCCAACAACTGTCGAATATGTGTCGACGTGCAGTTATCTTTTTTATGACAGAGAAATCTTGAGGCGTGTCAGTATTTAAGTAGAACTTCTTAGTTGATGGGCATTTATTAGTTTACACTGTAACACCAATTAACACTGACATACAACAAAAGAAGTATTTAAAAACATAAATACTGAAAATTTTTATTTACTGCAACTTTAAAGTTAACTTTCGTTTGACTGTTCAGAGAAGGGAGGTAAAAAGGGTTGAAAACTAAGCACACGGATCCGTGAAGTTGTCTGCCCCTTGTAACATGTAAGGCTGCAGTCCAAACCTATCAATGGAGGAGAAATGAATATCAACATTCTATATCAACATTCTGTATCAACATTCTATATCAACATTCTATACCAACATTATTTATCAACATTCTATATCAACATTCTATATCAACATTCTATATCAACATTCTGTATCAACATTCTATATCAACATTCTATATCAACATTCTATATCAACATTATTTATCAACATTCTATATCAACATTCTATATCAACATTCTATATCAACATTCTGTATCAACATTCTATACCAACATTCTTTATCAACATTCTATATCAACATTCTGTATCAACATTCTATATCAACATTCTGTATCAACATTCTATACCAACATTATTTATCAACATTCTATATCAACATTCTATATCAACATTCTATATCAACATTCTGTATCAACATTCTATATCAACATTCTATATCAACATTCTATATCAACATTATTTATCAACATTCTATATCAACATTCTATATCAACATTCTATACCAACATTCTTTATCAACATTTTATATCAACATTCTATATCAACATTCTGTATCAACATTCTTTATCAACATTCTATATCAACATTCTATATCAACATTCCGTATCAACATTCTATATTTACGTGTACACTGCCTTAATCGGTGAATCAAAGACGTGACGACATACGGTAAAGATGTTGCCTAAAACACCTGTTTCCATTATATGTTTCCAAAATCTTTCAAAGACATCGAAGTCGGCTTATGACACTGACACAATATTCCAATGCTTACCATAACTATATAAACACTTGTTTTCTTGGTGTAACTGGACGTACAAGGGAAGCTACCCTTTCAGACCAACATTGAGCACATTATTATGGTTTTCTTGACCTCAACATTATGCCCAACCGCCTTTACTATCTCTAAAGTGAATCAGGTACCCACCAGTGCTGAGTGTACTCTGGGATGTCCCGCAGTCTAGAATCTGGACCGAGATCCGAACTCGAGACCTTCGGGCTAGCAGTCGAGCGCTCTACCACCCAACCACAATATAATTAGACGTGTTAATTATCTAACGCTAATGAAGTCCAATTACCGGGAGATCTTCTGCATCCGGTACGGCTCAACATGTGGTATCTCCAGTGACCTCCACAACACCAAAAACTGGAACCCGGTACAATTCAGGGTGATGGTGTAGGCGGGGGTAGCCTGGTGGGGGAGATATTACATCTTTAGTATGTGTGATATAAGGGTATTTAAGTCAATTTAATACATAAATTGTGTCATCGATAGTGTAGGAGTGGGGGGGGGGGCTGGTGGTGGGTGCAGATATATCAACTTTAGTATGTGTGATATAAGGCATATAAGTCAGTTTAATATATAAATTATGTCATCGATTGTGTAGGAAGGGGTAGCCTGGTGGTGACGATATGTAAACTTTAGTGTGTGTGATATAAGAGTATATAAGTTACTTTGTGGCATTCGTTAAATATATAAATTGTGTGACAGAAAGGTAATTTCAGAGTTTCTTCCAGGCATCTCAGTACAGTCAGGCCAGCAAGTATTGACCCAATGTTGTCTGAACTATTGTCACTGACCAGTGTATCAGCGTTAGTATAGTCGGACCAGCAAGAATTGAGCCAAAGTTGTCTGAACTATTGTCACTGACCAGTGTATCAGCGTTAGTATAGTCGGACCAGCAAGAATTGAGCCAAAGTTGTCTGAACTATACTAACCAGTTTATCAGCGTTAGTATAGTCGGACCAGCAAGAATTGAGCCAAAGTTGTCTGAACTATTGTCACTGACCAGTGTATCAGCGTTAGTATAGTCGGACCAGCAAGAATTGAGCCAAAGTTGTCTGAACTATACTAACCAGTTTATCAGCGTTAGTATAGTCGGACCAGCAAGAATTGAGCCAAAGTTGTCTGAACTATACTAACCAGTTTATCAGCGTTAGTATAGTCGGACCAGCAAGAATTGAGCCAAAGTTGTCTGAACTATACTAACCAGTTTATCAGCGTTAGTATAGTCGGACCAGCAAGAATTGAGCCAAAGTTGTCTGAACTATACTAACCAGTTTATCAGCGTTAGTATAGTCGGACCAGCAAGAATTGAGCCAAAGTTGTCTGAACTATACTAACCAGTTTATCAGCGTTAGTATAGTCGGACCAGCAAGAATTGAGCCAAAGTTGTCTGAACTATACTAACCAGTTTATCAGCGTTAGTATAGTCGGACCAGCAAGAATTGAGCCACAGTTGTCTGAACTATACTGACCAGTGTATCAGCGTTAGTATAGTCGGACCAGCAAGAATTGAGCCACAGTTGTCTGAACTGACCAGTTTATCAGCGTTATTACAGTCTGGCCAGCAAGAATTGAGCCAAAGTTGTCTGAACTAACCAGTCTATCAGCGTTATTACAGTCTAGCCAGCAAGAATTGAGCCAATGTTGACTAAACTATTGTCACTGACCATGAGCCAATGTTGACTGAACTATTATCACTAACCAGTGTATCAGCGTTGGTACAATCTGGCCAGCTTCCCGTGAATACGTTCTCATCTATCTCACTGATCATGGCGCGGCAGTCCCTATGACTGTAGATGTCCGACCTCTCCAGATTTTTTAAACTCTCCACGTCAAAGGTTCCAGGTACACTGGTGAAGTAATTAAATCTACGTCATGGGTATAGAATAATCTATGGACGGGTTATGTGATTATGGAAGAAATTCACCCGCAAGTTAGTTTTGTAGGATTATTTTACTAACTTGTATTAGTTGTATTTAGCGGGGGTATTTCACTGAGATGTGGGGGTATTTCCTGATTTGTTATGTTTGTGGTGGTAATTCACTGATTTACCTGTTTTGTTTGTGGGGTATTTTACTGAGATGTGGGGGGATTTCCTGATTTGTTATGTTTGTGGGGTATTTCACTAATGTACTAGTTGTGTTTGTGTGGGTATTTAATGGACTTACGTGTTGTGTTTATGGGGGGGGGGGGTAGTTTACAAACTTACAATTTGTGTTTGTGTGGTATTTCACTGACTTGTGGGGGTATTTCACTGACATCTGGAGATATGTTACTGATTTTCCTGTTGTTTTTGATGGGGTATCTAACTTGTAAAGGATTTTTCACTAACTTGCCTGTTGTATTTATGGGGTATTTCACTAACTTGTAAAGGATTTTCACTGACTTGCCTGTTATATTTGTGAGTGAAGTTGTGAGGAGATATGATGATAGAGTTCGTGTTCGGATCCAACTCGGCCGTCGCCAGCAGTTGCCTCTTGACCACATTCCCATGATCTTCTTCGATGTAAAACGTGAATTTCTACACATTTTTAAAATGAATCAGAAGATGAAAAGGGCTAAAGTAATTAAGGTCTTATTTCACCTGTCAATTTTTCTTTCTCATAATAAATATAATCATTTAATTTAAATTAGTACAAATATCTTAAACAAAACAAAATTATATATTAGTAAAATTTATTGCTTCACGTATTTTTTTAAAGATAGGTGAAATAAAATAGTTGGTTTAGCAATAAATATTCTTGTATAATTCTCTTGAAATGATTGATCAGTAAGTGCTAAATAAAGATAGCACGCAGGTACTTACAGGTAATAACGCAGGCACTGTGACAGCAGGTACTTACAGGTAATAACGCGGGCACTGTGACAGCAGGTACTTACAGGTAATAACGCAGGCATTGTGACAGCAGGTACTTACAGGTAATAACGCAGGCACTGTGACAGCACGTACTTACAGGTAATAACGCAGGCATTGTGACAGCAGGTACTTACAGGTAATAACGCAGGCAATGTGACAGTGACAGCATGTACTTAAAGGTAATAACGCAGGCACTGTAACAGTGACAGCAGGTACTTA